GTGGGCGCCGCCACCGGGGGCGGGGCGCGGGCCGCCCTCCCCCACCGCCCCCTGCGCGGGAGGCAAGTTCCTAGTTTTGGGTTCTGGGGACAGAGGCCAGGGCCTTCCTACTGAGCCATACCCCCAGCCCTGTGTATTTTCTGAGCCAGGGTTTCGAACTTGGGACCTTCCTCCCTCAGCCTGCCAGCGTGCTGGTGTTCCAGGTTTGCACCACCTCGCCCCGCTGGGTTCTAGCTATTCCAGATCGCTGGGGCTACAGCGACGGATTTCACGTCTCCTCCCCCGCTTACCCGTAAAATACAAAAAACCACCTCAGTAACATTAGAACCTGTCACCAAACTGAGAAATTAACGGTTACCTCCCACACCTCCTGTTACACGGCTAGAATGTAACACTGGAGTTCAAATGAGATCCCAATCCAGGGCCCAATCGCTATCCTAGTCTTTCCAGAGCGGTCTGTTCCAGCCCGAGAGAAACACCAGGGCCTGAACTCTTAGCCTGGTAACGTTCTTCTCTCAAAAGACTGCTTTTCGAGCCGGCGCACACTTTGCAACCCCGGCACCGGGAGGCTGGGTAGGAGGATCACCACACGTTGGAGGCCGGCCTGAACGGCACAGCAAGACCCTGTCTCCAAACAACGAAGAAATTTAAAAACTTCTTTTGCTGCTTTTTTAACTTCCCACTCCTCCAAATTCTGATTCAAACTGCTAAACTGATACCCGAGGTGTACAGAAAAAGAACACTTGAGCTAAAAGCGGCCCACAACCCAGTTCTATCACAGATGGCTAAAATGCAAACATCCCCGAGGCGCTGAATTTAGTAATCTGGCGCGCCAATCTACCCTACTTTGGGCTCAATATTTCACACATGCTGCAGCTCTAGTAACAACGCTCAAAGAACACTTGTTGATTGGCTAGTACATTATGCCGCGAAGGGGCGTTAGGTAGTGCTTAGAAATACCATTCACTGTGTATCCACGAGACTGCAGTCTCGAGAACTATTCGTTACTTGAAGCACTCAATTAACAGTGACTCCAACAGTGATTCGTCAGCAGTATAAAGCAGTGGTGTTCCTGTTTGTATTGAAGATTAAACTAAAAACGTCTCCGCAGTGTTATGTGAGAACAGATGCGAAGCAAATGTTAATCTTCCAGTCTTAAGACACCAGTTTAAAATGTGCACTTCCCAAATAAACCGTTAAAAGCACACGACAGCACGTTGTTCTGCATTAGTACTGCACTTCAGGAGGAAATTCCAAGTTGGAGAGGCATGCAGACCTTTTTTGGCGGCAAGAAAGTAAATTTAACCCTGTTCTCTCCATCATTCCAGCCTTTCCCTAAAAGGCGGGCTAGGACCCGGATCACATGACCACGCCTCCAACTCCGGGCGGAAGAGCCCAGCTGGGACAAAGACAAGCGTCCCGAGGGCGTGTGGGAGGGCGTTCGTGCCCGGCTCAAACATGGCTGCTGCCGCGGGGCAGCCAGCGCCCGAGAGGCTCCTCTAGAGCCCGCAGTTTTCGCCCGTTCCCGCCGAGCGTCTCCTCCTTACCATGAGGCCGGTGAGCCGCCGCACCCTGGACTGGATTTATTCAGCGGTAGGTCCGGGTCTCGGGTGCTCCCCGGTGCCGACTCCCTGGGCCCTAAGCTGAGGGCCTCCTGTTCTTCACCGCTCGGAAACTCCAAAGCCTATTCTAGAATTGAACGGATGTCTCGCCCCGACTCCGCCTCTTCCGGGAAGGCCGCGTCTTCCGCCTCTTACGCAGAGGCCGCTGGCTCTACTCCCGCTGCGCCCCGTTTAGTCTGTCGCCGAAATTTCCACCTTGGCGAGGGTTTCTGATAACCTGACGGGAGCAAGGGCACCTACCACGCACATAACGTTTCCCTTTTTCTTTCCAAGGTTCTGCTTGCTGTCGTTTTACTCTCCTGGGGATACGTCATCTACGCATCAACGGTAGTTGCGCAGCGACAGCTAAGGAAGAAATACCCAGACAAAGTCTTCTGGATGGATGAAAACCTGTAACTTCTAGGTTTACCTCTCTCCAAGTACAGTTTCTGCCCTCATGCTTATGTACTCTGTAGGCTTAAAATGTGTAATACAGAATTCCCAAATTTATTTCTGTGTAATCCTTTATCACACACAGTGTTGGCTGGCTGGTGCAGGGGCCAAGTACCAGCCATATACAAGGCAGAAGGCTCCTTTTGGCCCAGGGTTTCAAAGGTTTCAATCCACGGTCAGCAGGCTCCAAGGCAGAAACGGTGCAAAGACTAGTGGAGAAAACAGCTCAATTCGTGGCACCTGGGAAACAGCAAGGGAAGAGCCAGAGGAAGTGCAGGGACCTGGTGTAGTCCCCAGGGTCACACCCTCATGACGGCCGTGTGCTTTACCAATCTAAGCATCTCTCAAGCTTATCAAGTTGATCAAGATTAATCCTCACACAAGCTTTTCAGACAGGTCTGACAACTTCTGAGTGTGACATCACAGATAAAAAGGCAAGCTTTTCAATCTGGAAAGGCTTTCAAAAAGATCAATTTGTTCTTTTATGTGCTCGTTGCAACATTTCACTCTACTGCATACCCTCACATCAAAATACCATACTATGTCAGAAAAAATTATGGGCATGTAAGGAATACACCTTGTTTTTCAAGTCAGGAATGGCCACAGAAAGGTGGTTGCTTACATCATTTGTTTAGCCTACCTGTTTTCTATCTATTGTCAAATCCAGAAAGTCTAAAGTTGTACAATGTTTGGGAAGAAATATGAAAACACTTTTCTGAGCATAAACTTTATTAATTTTCCAGGAAACATATTCAGTTACCATAGGAAAAAAACATGGGCTTAAGCCTTCGACATTTTTAAGTAATCTTCAGTGATGTTGATCAGGAAATTCTTTCATTGGTGGAATTACTTCTCCAGTCTCCAAAATTGTATCACCCTAGAAAAACAAAGAAGGGTTTAGTACAAAAATCTTAAATTTGCATAGGTAAGTAGTTCATCTGTACTCCATGTTGGCCAGAAAAGGTAGTTAAGCTCTGACATTCTATTCTATCCCTTTACCCCCATCCCTTCTTTTTCTTTCTTTCCACACAGGGGCTCCTTGTGCAGTTCAGCCTGGCCCTGAACTCACTAGGTACCCTAGGCCGGTCTCAAACTTGTGGCATCCTCCTGCTTCAGCCTTCTGGGTGCTGGGATTACATGCAAATCAGTTAGCACCATGCCAGGTTTGGCATTCATTTCACTTTAAAAAGGACTCAGACAAAGCAGAAGCCATCTAAAGATAAACAGTATTCACAATTTTAAAGTACCATGAAAAAATAAGAAGTTTCACTCAAATACAATAACCAGAAAGGACATGAAAGCTGTGTTTTCTGGGTGTTGAAGGCTAATCTTTTTGCATGTCCCAAATAATAGAAGCCCTAGAAAGAAGTTGCAAGGGCACATCTTCAGTTCAACGTAAGGGGGTCATGTACTCTCAGCGATTCAGTGTGAACCAATTTTCCACTGGGCTTATATGCAGGAGATAATGAATTTTTGGCTGGCAGTTGGTCCAGGTGTCTAAACCTAGATACAGTGTGTGGTCACAAGGGGATGGGTTTTGAAGCCAGAACCAAGTGGTGAATCTCTTGGAACCTCCACTGACAAGCTGTATAATACTAAGCAAATCAGTTAGCTTCGGTTTCAGCCATGTGTTTAACAGACTTTCTATTATGCTGCCAATCCTGAATGACTAGAGTAGAGCCTATTTTACTCTCACCCCCTCCCCTGCCATCTCATGACCTGGTCCTACTTAGGACTGTTACGTGATGAAGACATAGTTTTGTATTTAAGCCACTAACCATTTTGTGTTAAGCCACTAAACTGTTATCACAGTAGCATGACTCTTAACACAAAAATTAAGGCCTTAGGCCGGGCGTGGTGGGACACGCCTGTAATCCCAGTACTCGCACTCGGGAGGCTGAGGCAGGAGGATTGTTGTGAGTTCAGGACCAGCCTGGGCTACAAAGTGAGCTCAAGGCCAGCCTGAACTGCGCAGTGAGGCCCTATCTCAAAAAAGAAAAAAAAAAAAAAAGATTAAGGCCCTGAAATGGTCCTAACACTGCTATAATAAAAAGCAAGCTACAAGGCACTGGCTTAGTAGTCTATGGCAAAGGTACAGGCAGTAAAGGCTAAAACTGATGGAACAAAAGCAGTAGAAAACCACTTAGCAGAATGTCTCCTATTATGGGAAGCTCAGTGCCTAATGAACCTAGAAGTTCTAGAAGTAACTTCTTTCAGACAGATTTATGTGTTTGGATCTTACTGGCTACTCTGGGAATGTACTTAAACAGTAACTGATTCTGTGAAGGCAAGAAGTGACTGATCTGAGAAGGAATGAGAGAATATAAAAATTCATGGCTTAGTACTATTGAAAAATCAGACTGCTTTCAAATCCCTAACAGTAAGTGATAACACGAGCTTTGTAACAACGTAAGTCCAATAAAACTCAGTAAGCAGAGGGCACTTGGTTCAATGGTAAAGATCAAAATAAAGGTAGCCCTTAAACCAGATTGTTTCGGATGGCCTCCACACAGCTGACACACAGATGTACGAGGACAAAAAAATGAGAGAACTTGGTAAGTATTATATATAGAACGGGTACCAGCATGGGCTTTGAAGCCACAACCAAGTGACTAGAAGTAAACGATTCGGTGCCTATTTTTCCTTGCTTGCCAAATATTAAGGGAAATCAATGGTCAAGGAAACCCAACATTCAGATTATAAAAGCCTGTGACTGTTTGAAATTAGAACTACCTGTGGCACTGAACCTGTGAGCAAGAGGCAGAGTTTGTATGCTGTACAACCCCTAGGAAGGACTACTCACCGATACCATTTCGATGTGGCCTGGAAGACATCCTGGACAGAGCCAGGGACCAGGAAAAATAATGGACAAATGTGTTCCTTCCAGAAAACAAAATCAGTGACCATGCAAGTAACTTCCTACACACACGAGTCTTCACAATATTTGACTATTAAGGATCTTAAAATTGCCAAGAAAGAGTGACTGCTCTGCTATCCAAATTCTACCACTGAGCAATGGGTACGGGGGTGGGAGAGGATACAATTAACCTTTCTGTCTTCTTAGTTCACTGGTCTTCAAATCAAGAGAAGTCACATTTGAACCTGACAGACACTCCTACTGCATCACCTGAGAGCTTGGATTTGGGGCTCGCTACAGTGGGGGTCTTTAGGATCTTTTCATGTAGGGGATAGACTGAGTGTTCCATGTGTGGGAAGAAGGAGGCAAAAAGCTACTAGTGCATAGACGGATGGACTATGGCAAAGATCTCATGCGTGAGAGTGTCGAAGACAGGAAGGAACACGTGACCATTTAGGACAGTGAGGATGAGGCCTGGTTAGTAGGACTGGAGATGCCGTGTAAGAGACTTCAAGTCATCTTCACACTTTGAAGCCATCCAGAAACACTTAGCCTTTTCTTCCTGCAACACAAGCACTCTAGAGCCGCAGCTGTAAGGGACTGAAGACAGCCTGATTCACACGAGCGATGTAAGGAATGTTCTGTCAGCGTTTGTGAGCTTCCTGCTATCTGCCCTGCTTTAATGCATGTGTCCAAGTGGGCATTCTTTAGTTTCTAAAAAGGAAACATTCTCAAAACAGTTACTGGCACAGAAACAGAAAACAACAGTGGGGAAAAAAACAGAAACACTACAGAATCACTAACGTGTTCTTCGAAAGAGGGCCCTCCTCGCACAAGAACGGCAAAATAAATAAAACCTAAGCAAACATAAACGGAAGCGTTAGTAAATACCATTTACCCAGCTGACAAGACCAGAAAGATAATTTCCTATTGTGAGACCATCTAGGCCCTGACACACACCAATTACACGTAAGGAAATAATAAAAGACATACTCTATCATTTCCTAAAGCAAAATTCCAACTGGGATGTCAACTTCAGTAGCTCTCCCTAAAATTCTCACTGTAATAAATAATGGATTATTGTGCAATATGTCATTAGATTACAGTGAAAATCAACACCGAGTTTCGCTGGTTTTTTGACACAGGGTCTTGCTGTATAATCCAGGTTAGCCTCAAACTCACTATCCTCCTGCTTTGCCTCGGCCTCCCAAGTGCTCGCTACGGGGGTGTCGCCACCTAGGATTAGAGGTGTGAGCCACCACACCTGGGGAATTCTGTTTTTATAATTAGAATTTAGAGTTATGGTAGTTCATTGATTATCTGTGCCTAGAAATAAAACATGTGCATTTTACTGTACTAAACAATAATACCCCAGCAGCCAATAAAAATGCCACCTGACTACTGAGCAGTCTTAATGCTGAAAGAACTCATTTTTGGGGGGGACGTACCAGAAATCAAACTCAGGGCCTAGAACTTGCCAGGCAGGCGCTGTGCTGCTGAGCTACATCCCTGGCCCCGAAAGAACTAATTTTAAATTCGTATTGGGGTCTAATATTCATACCATAGAATTTTAAACACATTAATGGTTCTAAATTTACAGATGAAGAACTTCAGGGCAAACCATGAAAATGAGGCACAAGGCCACGGAATGAGAGAAGTAACAGAAAGCTCAGGCGGCCGCTCAGGCTCATGCCCTGCGTCCTTCACTCAACGTGAAACAGCGCAGGGGGAACTGCTGAACTGTCCATTCACTAGGACGATCAAGGTCATAAAGTTCAAAATTAATGTTTCCATTTCCCATCATCAACTGTAACTGCTACCTCAAGCTATTTCCTCCTTTTATTTCTTTTAAACAACACAAAAAATAGGCACTTAAACTGACATTTAAGAAGCAACATTTTAGACTAATCATCACTTGGGTCAGTATAATGAAAAAAGAAAAATGAGAGTTAACTTACTGGGAATATTCTGGGCTTCTTTTCAACAATGCCATATGGTTTTGTCTGCAATACAGATAATTCTGTGTTAATTATGGTTTTAGTTTTTTCTAAAAATAAGTAGATCACATCCAACATTTTAATGTAAGCTCCAAACTTTTACAGAATTGCAGATTCATGCACTGAACTATTTATTCAATATCTCTACTCAGCTATCAACAGGCATCTTTAACTGTGTCTAACACTTAACTCCTCTCAGCCCCCAAATGCTTCTCCTCATGTTCCTTATCTTACTAAACGGCACTTTATTTCCCTCCTTCCAAAGCTTGAAACCATCGATCTCCGCAGCAGATCCTGTTGAGTCCACCTTGATACTGTACCCTTCCTCCTGCTGCTTTTCCCCACCTCTAGGACAACTACTCCTGCCCAAACCTTTATCATTTTTTCACTTGGAAGGCTGCAACAGCGAGCACTCTTGCCTCCCTGCTTCCATTGGTGACCTCCATGATGAATCCCTGTAAGATGGATAGTGCTCTACTCAAAACTTTGTAATTCTTAGAGAAAAGGCAGAAGTCCTTGCTGGGATCTTTAAGCCCCTACATGAGCTAGCCCTTAGCAACGCGTCTGACACCCCGCCACTCTCTCCCTCCCTCACGGTACTGTAGCTACAGCTGCTCCCTAAGCTACCAGTCCGCTCAAGCATTTCCGTGCCTTTGTACTTACAGGATTTGTTTTTTGTACTTACTGACTCCTGCACCTGAAATGGGCTTCTAGATACCTGCTTGACCCATAATCTCACTTCATTTCAAGGATTAATTCCGCGCCTAATTAAAACCCGTCATTCTTTTGTGTTCTAACCCTGCTTAATTTTTTTCTAAAGATATAATCACTTCCTCTACTTTATATACCCGTTTATGTATTCATTGTTAGTCTAAGACTAGAATAAACACCTCATGAAGACAAGGATACAATCTCCTTTGTTTGTTGCTGCATCTCTGTAGTACAGTGGCATGCATGCAGCAAGGGCAAAGTAAATATTTGTTACATAAATGTACTTGTAAAGCAGATAGATACATGATAGATATAATAGATATAGATGACTGACAGACAAACAGACAGACAGTAATATGCAACGATATCCCATAGCAAAATATTTAAAATACCAGCATGATCTAAAACATGGCATGATATATGACATAGATATAAGATGCAGGGAACTGGAATATGACAGAAACTGAGAATACAACGTGACACATTAAAGTGTTTTTATTTAAGAACTGGCCGGGCCAGGCAGTGGCATATACCTGTAATCCCAGCTACTCTGGAAGCTGAAGCAGGAGAATCCAAAGCTCACAGCCAGCACAGGATACTTACTGAGCTCCTGTCTCAAAACATTAAAAAGGACTGGGGATATAGTTCAGTGCTCCCTGTTAAATCCCAAGAAAGGGAAGGGGAGAAGACACTGAAATGTCTTCAGAGACCACAATTCAGTTAGGCATTAAAGCAGTTAGCGGAACCAAATCTGGCTCCAATCTTATTAAAGGGACAGAGCCCACCTACCCGCACCCCCCCAAAAAAAAGAATGTGAGTGAGTGGCCTTGGGGTTTCCACTGTGCCTAAAGTGTGAATTCCTCAGATAAGCAACGCTATGAATGTACTGTCAACTGCAGCTTGTAAATCTGCCTCTTCTGGAAGGTATGCATCTCTTTAATCCCTGAAAATTTTAGTGAAATATCAATGGTAAAGTTAAACCCAGAGTATAAAGAGAAAAATATTAACATCTGCAAGTTCTGAAAACACTCACATAGTGTTTGTAATGTTTAAGACACTGCTGCTACTAGTCTAAGAGGCTAGGCTTAGGATTCTAATTAAAATGGACAATTGGTTTGGACTTATAAATTCAAAAATTTTTGCTTCTTAGGATCACAAATTTACCCTATAAAAATATTACCCAATTCTTTATGCAGAGAAAAAGCACTCTTGGATATTAAAAAAAAAAAAAACCTCTAAAGGAAGTAATATTTTTCTTCTCTAGGGGCTCACATGCCAAAATACTGAAAAAATAACACCTGTATATAAGAAATGGCCTATAGACACTGGTGAGCATAAAGATTAAGCCCAACAGAAAGATAAGCCATTCTGTGACCCTTTCAGGTAGTTCTACTGTCTCCTAGTAATGATATGATTTTAGCATACTAACTTCAGGTGTTTCAGTTACTAACTTCAGGTATTTCTTTGTCTTTTGTTCTTGTTTTGTTTTGTTTGAGACAGGGCTCAATATGTAGGGTGGCTAGAACTGGCAACCCTATCTCAGCCTCTTAAATGCTGGGATCACAGAGGTGCACCACCATCCCCATCTTGTTTCTTCCTTCAAATGTGTCTTTTGGCTTCACTTTCCCTTTTCATCCCTCCTGTCTTCACCTGAGCCAGACTCATCGACTGACATTACTACAGTGCAAACAGCTACTCTGCCTGGGAACTGACTTTCCTCCCTTCAGTTCACCCTAAGTATCAATGCGTTTCTACACTTTTCCTCACATTCACCAACTAAAACTCTCCATTTAAAACAGAGAGCTGCTTAATGCCTAGCGTGTACAGTGCAACCTCTTCTGCCTAGTTTTCGGGATGTTCCACAACCTGGTCCCAGCCGAGTGAGTCAACCTCTGCTGACTCTACGCATCGCCTCATTCTCAGCACACTCAGCTGTGCTCATCACTCTGTACCTCTCCTAACGGGAGTAACATTTCTCCAGCACAGTCTCACTCAAATCCTATCTGTCCTCCAACATTATACACGTTTTGAGGTCAAGAAATTTGGTTTATTTTTTCTACAGTAGTCCATATCTATCATCCAATATTATATACATTCCCTGAAGTCAGAAATTTATTTTCGTATTTTTGTCTAGAGCAGTAAAGGACAAGGGTACACCAGAGAATCGATTCTTATTGATCGAGGGACATGCACTGCTTAAGAATTACGCAGAGAACTAAGACAATGTTAGAAATCAGAATTTTAAAAAGCCTATCAATCAGCAAAGAACCAATCAATGTTAGAGGGAGTTTTCTGAGAACCCCAAACCATTTTGATTGTTTATTTTATGTTCAACAAGCTAACAAAGAGCAATCTCAACTGAATTATCTAAAACTTGTTAAGCAGTCCTTAGCTTTTAGTTTGAAATAATTCTAACACTAACACATTCCTACCTCTATCTGGCCTAAGGAATCTCTTCAGTTTTACCAACTGCCTCAGTAATTGTTTGGGTGCCACTTATGCGACTTGCTCTCCATCATTGCACAGGATCTTTAAAATTCTGACTGCCACCACCACCTTTGTTCTTTTGATGAAGCCCATTATTCAAGAACTGCATTAGCAACATGCTTGTGGGAGAGAGTTGGGATGGAACCTCGGCGCCACACACACACACACACACACACACACACACACACACACGAGGCAAGCACTCCACAGACCTACATCCCCAGCTATACTCCCTCAAGAACTACAGTTAGTTGGTGCATCTCTTCAGCATTCTTCAATCTGGAACAATCCTAAGTTTCACGACCTTGACATTTTTGACAGTAACAAGCCAACAATTACACAGAATAGTCCCTCAATTTGGGTTTGTTTCCTCACAACTAAAGAAACTTAGCACTTTTTGCAGGGATATCACAAAATTAATGCTGTTTTACTCTCACCGTATCCTTTCAAGTAGCACATAATTTCAGTTTTTCCCATTAGCGAATTATTAAGGGCTTGCCTGCTAGGTCTCTCACAAGAAAGTCATTCCTTTTTTCTTCGCAACAGGTATTTCAAGAGTAATTCTAGCTAGGCATAGTGGTGCACACCTGTGATCCCTGCACTCAGGAGGCTAAGGCAGGAGAATCGCCATGAGTTCAAGGTCAGCCTGAACTATAGAGACCCTACCTCAAAACAAAAAACAAAACAAAAACAGTAATTTTAGCATCTTGATGATTCTTAAATGGTGCTTTTTCTACCATTCCTTAATAAATCAGGTGATAAATTAATAACTTAAGCAGTTTATTTTACAAAAAAGCATTCTCTTCTACCCACTTATTATTTTTATCAGTATAACTTAGTTTTGATCCTATTAAGTAAAATTTCACCTCTTACATTTAATTAATTAATTTATTCATTTATTTATTGCTTCCTTTAAATTTGAGGTCCTCCTGCCTCAGCCTCCAACTTCCAGAGTGCTGGGATTATAGGCTACAGGTGTACACCACTATACCCAGTATTATTTATTTTAATGCTCAAACTGTCCCAGTGAGAGTCCTTTTGACCTGATTCTATGTCCTTTTCCTACATCCGTATCACTCTTTGTACATTCCTTTACTTTGTAGTTCAACAATATGTTCTAAGCTCATTTTGTACTTTTCCCAACACAGCCTTGGAATCAGCCATTTCTAGGACCTCTTCCTCCTTTTGGTGGAAAAATGTACTTTAAAAATAAGACCTGATTGTTAGGTGGTCTAATAACAAAGACGTAGCACTGCTTTTTCAGGCCCTCTCATCGGATGAAGCTACAGGACACATATAAACAAATGCGCACACACATACCCTTTATGTCCATATTTGTGTATCTGCCTACGAATACACAGTAAAAGCCATGAATTCACACCAATACTTCCAAGTCCATTCTAGCACAAGGTTTTATTCCTTGTTCACATGTGTAGCTTCCATTTCAGAAAGAAAATCTTGTCCGCTGTTATCAACATACGCACTTATCGTATCAATCTCCCTCTGTACATAACAGAGCTCCTGTCACCACCACCATACCCAATACGTACAAGCTCAATGACTTGGGTTCTTACACCTTCCTGTGGGCCGCCACCCGCAACACTGTCCCACACCACCTTCCCTCCAGAGGCCTCCTCCCTCTGCTCAGGTTCCAGTATTATAACTCCCCTCCTTGGAGAAACGGCTGGTTCCAGGGCTGGAGCAGGAAAAGCAAAACTGAGGTTGGAAAATACTGCGAGCCAGAAAGTAAAGAAGTGCTCAACGCTTGCGCACCTTCGTCCCCCGCAATCCAATCAGGATCTAACACCCGAACCCTCACTGGGAACAGGAATGCTGCACACCAACAGCGTCCACAGGGCAGCCCCTCGGCTCCCCTTCCACACCATTCTACGGACATGGCACGCCCTCCTCCCTCCCGGGACTCAGCCCCGCGCACCAGACTCCGCTAGCCCTAGCCTTTAAAACTCCGCAGCTGGCTCCACTGAGTCGGCCCGCGCAAGATCTGTCAGTGAAAAATTCGTTTTTGTACATCCAGGATGCTAAAGAAAGAAAATTGTGAAAAATTGGATAAAAACAAAGAAAACGGAAATGAAACGATGACGAAGATGACACTTGTCTATTTTGAATTTTATACCACACCTATCATCAAAAAAAGGAGACAAAACTTAGTGTATCTCGCCCCTATTCAAGACCCTACGTTTACACTAGTACTATTAGCTCGTCTACATTCTGATCATGTATATATTATTTCTACCATGAAATGCATTTCCAATTGTAGACTAGTATACAGCTTTAAAAAAAAAATTGAGTCTGATTAAACCTCTTACCTAAAAGGACTCAAAGTACTTCCAAATCCGCAGTAAGGTAGTAAGTGCAGGTTTTTCCACAAAGAATACGGCACGCCCACGTAAGAAACTATTTTGCACAATGTAAAAATAAATCGTGAAAATATACTTGAAACATACTTACAGCCACATGATACTTCATGTAATAGTGAACGATCCAGGCAGGTATGAGCACATGAGTGACAGCGAACACACTGCGCCAGTATACGTTATAGATCTGAGGGGAAAACAGACACAAAACGAGCGGACGCTTTGCTTTGTACGTTTATCACGCTTATTTTCTAAATTTCTAACGCGAATTTATTCGGCACGCCACTGTCCTCAGACCCCAAAGCCGCAGGACTGGCTCAGCGCACCCTCGGCGGCGGCTCTGGAGTCCCGCGCAACCGCGGCGGAGGGAACTCGGGCCCACGCGCCCGCGCGCACCCGACACTCTGCGC